GTGTGGTATAGTTTTTAACTATTTCTCCACAGAAGAATCTCTAGGCTGCCCAAATTCTGGGCAGAGACATATGCTGGCTTTCGTTAATACAATGTGCTAGGAAAAGACTTCGTTTTAGATATGGGTACGTTTTTGAATATTCTGCTTCCCACCACGTGTTGAATCTTCGACATGCGGTGAGAAAGCCGAGAGCGTGGCAATCTGATCGGTCTTCCTTTTTCTGATTTAGGTTTCTCTGCTCTCTAGTACTCCTGTTTTCTGGTGCTTTGCATTAGGCTGTTTGATACGATCGTAGTTTCTTTCTACATTGGCCCTGAAGCAACTACGGTTATGGTCCTGATGTGAACATTGATCATAGACTACATGGTCACAGTGTCTGTCCAGTGTCTCGTGGAAACGTTGTCAAATCCGCCCTCACGAGATACTGTATTGTCAGCAATATCCCTGTGGGAAAATCTCTCCGCTTTACCGTCGAAAACTGTTCGTCGCCACAACAAGCTAACGTAATATAAGTGGATGCGGTGAAAATGTAGTTGGTGAAGCAGGGGAGGTCACCCTCCGCGTCCTCGAATGTTGACGGGTGAGTTCAGGTCAAAAAAGCCGTGCACCAAGCACACGTGCCTTGGCTTGGAACAACACGTCATCATTTTGCTACCCTAAGTTAATACTGATAATAGGACTACTTTTCATTTCCATGCAAAACGCGGTTATGGCTAACCGACTACTGCCGCTTCGAGGTTTCACTTTGATAACCACATGACCGGCGCATGCATCTAAGTCGAAGGAGGAGTTTGACGAGTGTTTTGCGGAATGCGAGTTGCTGTGAAAGACCCGATCGTGCCCGAACTATGGGAATCCATGTAAGCTGACGAAGCAAGGGAAGAACCAGGAGCAAAGCGTTCGCTAGAAGCTTGAATGTTGCAGACGGCCATGCCGTCAACCAGCGATTCCTCACAAGTCCGGGTACTTGAAGGATACTTCCTTCGAAAGAACGCATAGCGACCTCTTCGCTTACGATCTTGGACCTGTGAAGGAGATGGCGCGAACGTTGGAGCTAAATGATAGGAGCATCATTCAGTGGACGCAGTGGTTTCGTGACGTGCTGGTTGATTATTACACCAACAATGTGAAAAAATAGGAAGAACCATTACAGTGTTGCAGGTGGACGAGACGTGTATCGTTCGACGGAAGTATAATGTGGGTCGTATCGTCTGCAAAGATTGGTGTCGGAGGTATCTAGGATGGGACGAAACTAGTGCTTGTAGAAATCACGGACGATCGTAGCTCTACATCACTGCATGCTATAATCCAGAAATACGTCCCACCTGGAAGGGTCATCCGCACAGACAAGTGGAAAGGTTATAACAACCTAACCACTTTGGGTTACCGGCATGAAACGGTCCACCACCGCGAAAACTTTGTGGACCCCACGACAGGAGCGCATACACAGCGCATGGAGAACTTCTGGGGTCATTTAAGAGCGAAAATCCGTTCGCGTCATGGGCTGAAAGGGATTTATGGGACGACCATTCCTTTGAAGTCCTATGGAAGTGGTACTCAACAGCGAAGATCTTCCGTACGGACTTTGAAAGCTAATCGCCGCCAAGTACCCTTGCTCTTGAAAATTTTCATGTGAGTTGGATTGCGTTAAGGTCTATTATTTTTGAAATTACTCGAAGCTGCAGAAATATAAACTTCCGCCTATGCTTTAGTAGTACAGCAGTACCGGCGTGGATGAGATGCTAACATTATGAAAGGAATACAAAAATAATAATGAAATACAATAAAGTAAAGGTGATTTGAGTTCTTAGTGGTTGTTAGTGTTGATATAATACAGAGTAACACTTTCAAGAATAGCCGTCGACTAGCTGGGAAAAACCTGTGGACTGACCTGTGGTAACACGTCAACACTAAGACGCGGGAGGTGACCTCCCCTGGTGCGCCCCGTTGCACGCGTCCGTCAAAAGTAGGTCACGTCGCAGCCAACGTATGCGGCTGGTCAGCCCGCGACACTTGACAGACGTCGCAGTTGTCAGTTGGGCATACGATTTGCGCTTGGTCCACGGCAGTCAGCCAAATAGAAGATAACACAGACAAATACAAATCGTTCGCTCCACTGACACTTGGTGGTACTGTATTGCCATGTTGAGACCTCAGTGGGGTGCGTCGTGCGGGGGATGACCTACTTTCGACGGACGCGCGCANCCGTGGATGCAAAGCGCTGGAATTTCTCGGATATACCGCTAATTCCATTAGTCATTCGTAATCATTATGATATCGTAAGACAGTTGGACGTAAGAAAATATTGAGCTCATACCGGCTCTATGAGAAATTTGTTGAGCAGACATTTGAGCATAGGCCTAGTCAAATTTCCTTCTACCCCATGTTAGATTACCGTATATAACGCGCTCGTGTCCGTCTGTGTGTCTGCCTGTTTGTCCATCTCATGATTCGTTATCACATGAAGAAATACCTGGAGAGGTCAGAACAGGTTTGGAATGGGCTGAGAACATGTTTAATGCAACAGAGACATGTGAGCCTAGCAGAATTCTTCCTCAAAGACGCGGGGAGGGAAGTTAGGCGGTGTCATGGGCAAAAGTTTCTAACTTGCTCTCATAACAGTCCAGACGAAGAGAAAATGTGCGAATGTCAGGGATGGGTCAGCAACTCACCATGGGGACTCACCGACAGTGGACGGAGCGTCCTCACAGTGGGCAATACTTTCCTTCTAGATTCACAACTCGATTCAGCGAAAGCGTGGAGCTCAGAAAAAGATGAAGTGAGCGAGCAAAGCTTCATATGTGCTGGACGTGAAAAAAACAAAACTTAGCGAAGCACCATCCAGCATGGGCGGGGTGTGCGTTAAGATGGAAGCTACCTTTTAAAAAAATATATATATTTTTGTTCAGAAAGGTTCTTAAATTCACGGAGAAGTGGGTAGAGGTAGTAGAAGAAACGTGGTCAAAAGCTCAATGTGGGAGGCTCGCACTGGGTGGGTGGGGCCAATACCAAAAATTTATAGCCCTGTTCATTAACTACCTAGAAAGCTGGAGAAAAGGTATTTGGATGTTATGGGTTGCATTCAAAGAGCAAAACTGTTATACTGGGCCTCGCCTCATGAAACATTTCAAAGCATCATTGGAGTCGGCTCTCTGCAACACAGAGCACCTTTCATTACAGATCGACAAGTTATTTAAGCTGGTGTGTGACGCGACGCTTTCAAAACGTTTCTGTGAAATGCTTTTAGCTAGACAAAATCTTATTTTCCCAGATCAGACAAATGTAGAAGCAGGCCTATATGGTATAGTGCATTTTCACACATGCACTGTCCGAAAATCGACATGCATCGATGTACGACTAAACTAACAGAGCTTTCCATCCTTCCGGAGTCGGTTAATGGGGAACGAACCCTTCTGGAAGTATGGAAGCTTAGGCTAGTACATCTGCTGGCCACCACAAGTCATTGTACTGGCCAAATATGCATTCAGTACGGCACTACAATTCTGAGTGGAACCAAAATGCGCAGCTCACCCTGGACTAATTAACGTCAAAAATCTTATCATGAAAAGAGTAGATCGATCCTTATTATCCACTAGCCGACCTGCCCATCATACCTGAACGCATTCGATCGATCGTCAACTATAAAATTAGCCTTTCATCCATTTTCCAAGTCATCTACTGCAGGACAGTTTCTAAAAACAAACTTCTAACTCCTTTCACAACGCGATGTTTCACAAGAAAACAATCCCAGAGTCTGGTTTTCCAGTTCCGATCGAGAATATAACAAAATTTTTACAATCACCAACTACCGGATGACTACTCGATATTTCTGGTCTGTAATCGGTAATGATTCGGGAAATTCAACTGTTGTTTTCACATCCTTTGCTTGGAAGCTAGCTCGTGCCAAATCTTAGAGAAAAACAAGCTGCGTCGAAGCCAAGACTTTTTACAAAATGCACCAATCCTCTGAACTAATAACTTTCTTCTGAATTAACGTCTCACGGAATCGCTCAGATAAATAGAAATACGGCAACATCCAGGTACTACCAAACATGAATTAAGAATTCTTGTTTACAGATTAAAAAAACCACGACTGCCTAGCACCATACAGGGTGCATAAAATAACGGGTCTGATAAAGAGAGAAAGCATGACAACACTCTACCGCTTTTAAGAAAGACCGCAATAAAACAAGAAAACGACATGAGTAACATTTATAAATTAATTATCATCTGACACTACCTTCATAAACCAGATATTCGCTGCAAAGCCCAAAAATGAACGCCCTCTCCCAGAATAAGGGCAAGTTCAGTTGAAGTAACATGAAGTACTATAACTCTTAGCACATTTAGACAAATAATTCGGCACAACCTGCTGCCAGAACTTTTCTTTGCCTTGAATTGTTAGTGTAGGAATTTCCTAATTAGCCGCTACTCCTCTTCGCACAAATCAGTTCCATCACAAAACCAGCCTGATCGGGAGAAGAAAAACTAAAGCTTTACCTAACCGAGGGGAAAGTGAGAAGAAATATTGTAAAACGATACGTGAAGAAAATGCGTTCACTTGAAAAGTCGGACTGTATCAGTGGCCGCTAGAACTCTTTACTGTAAAAGCTGAGCTGCGTACTCAAATATAGTGCAGTTCGCCTTACTTCGACTGAACCAACCCCAATAAATCACAAAAGAGAGTTACCAATCACATTGTTGAGAACAATGGGCGTACAAATGAGGGTATCAACAAAAAACAACGTCCAAAAAACCCATATCGTGAAGATAGACGCACCCAAAGCGGGCGTCTACTACTGTACTACTGCGGTAGCAACAGTGGACACTCGATTATGGGACGGTCAAAGGAAACAAGCAAACGACATGAACAGGCGAATTTTTTCGAAAACAATTGGTCTACATTGCTAACCAACGACAACCTTCCCGGTGTCTTCCTTTCCAGCCATTCGAGGCTTTCCAACAGTGAATGGGATGTACTTGTACTTGATCATATGCTAAATGAAAACTATATGTTGTATATTCCAAGTAACATAATAAATCAGAAATCTTCAATTCAGCCTGTTTTCAGATCAATTGGCCCTTGAGAAGAAGCTTAAGGTGGCAATTTGGATAATCATAACATCAGAAAAAGGTAGATTACTATTATAAAAGAACTTAAAGCCATCCTTGTAAAAGTGATTTTTTGAAAAATTCCGATAAGTTTTGGCCGATTTGTCATCGTATAAAAAGAAAAGCTGTAAAGTTTAATGCCACGTTTAACGACTATTTCAAACGCTCTTTAAATTTTGGAGAGACTGATGGAAGCACGAAGAGTCTACAAGTTTGAGGCGTGATCAAAATTACTTTTAACTATTAAAGTAAAAACCTCTGAAAAAGGCAAGCTGATAGAATGTTCTTATCAAAATGTTGTTCAAAAATGATCATCTCTATGTTACTTCGAGGAAACAAGAAAAAAGAAAACGTGGTTTTTTCAAAAAATGATGGCATTGCATTCCCTCTGAGAACTGAATCGTATGATAAGATAGTGAACAACTAGTGCTAAGCAGTTTATATGGAAAATGACTCACCATTATCTGTCTCTTCATTGTCAGGAAGAAAAGAATGATGAAGTACATGACAAGAATCGGCCAGAATACCGGCACATTGAAGAATTCGAAAAATGTACAAAAAATCGCGATTAAAGTGGCTTTCATAGCAGAGTGCCTGAATAAGATTTGAGTGATACTGATTGTAGAGTTTACAATGTGTGTCTTAACATCAAAATGCATTCTCGAAAGGAAAGGAATAGACATCTATCGATGCCAGAATCGATCAATTGATAGACGTGGGCTATATACGTCCAATAGTTCCTACCCAACTAAATAAAGCACGAGTGCATACCAGCATTTGAATTCAGGTAATCGTCGCATAAACGGACGAAATTCATCATTCGTTCTTGATGGCAAAACAGGCCCATCATCGTCGTCCTCGAGGGCAGGATCAATAGAAGGTGTTAGGAACAAAAGGAGCAAATTCAAATAGTAGATTCCAACAGCATATGCCACTATGTAGAAGCCCTGGAGACAATACTCATCAACAACGAGTGAAACTAGCAATCGACGACCAAATAGACAGTCGAAAAAAAGAAATAAAAAAAATTCTTCTCGTTGACTTTCAGAAAATTAAGTAGTTAGTGAATAAAGGAGTCACGATTGAGAACCTCTTCGTTTTGATTTGAAAATGATGAATGAATATATGAGTTCATCAGCTTATCAAAAATGCAAAATGCGTCCTACCGTTCAGCACGGTAAAGGAAAAGAACATGTACAAGAAAAAAAATATGGGAAACCCTAAAACTGCGCCCTATCAAGTTGCTAACAAACTGTAGCCAAGAGTTAGCACAGGGAGTTTTGTACGTGGTATTTTTCATTGGAATAGATGAAATGNACTTCTCTTCCATAGCGTTTTTGATTATTTGACGAAGTGAAGATTACATATTTTCTTCCATACATAGCTCCAGTCAGTACAGGCTAATCATATTTCTAATTCTGCTCAATCTGGTTTGCTATACTGGTTATCGCTCAAAGATTTTGCCCACAAAAGTGCTATCAAATTGCTTTCGAAGATAGGAATCTTGCTTAGCACTGCACGTTGCCCGTCGAATGCTGAGATTTCACTCTTTTCGCTTACGCCAGCAGCTGGATCAAACTAATCTACATCAGTTTCAAGACCTTACGAACAAAATAGAACTGGAAGATGACTCACTTGGAGGTAGAGAATCCTAGCACAAAAAGTGATTATTGCTACTGCTGCCATCAACCACCGAACAGTAGTTTGCGGCGTGAGTTTATCCAAATAATATTGGTATTTCTAAAGAAAGGTTCAAATATGTAGAAAGGGTTTCAGGTGAAGCAAAAGACAAATGGTCTCACCACTTCTAAGGAATGGAAGAACCGGGAAACAACACCAGGTCTTTCTCTCAGGTCGTCATCCATGTTTGAATTATCTCCTGGAAGCAAAAAATATCCATGCGCAAGCGCATTTTAAAGCATCAATGGATCCAAAGAAATCCGACGACGATCAGATGCTCGTTGAGATGAAACATACAGTGCAGAATCATCATTTTTTCGTGGAAATCAAAGGAGATGCGATCTTGAAACATACAGATCATCTCGAAGATTCTGCCACTACTTCCCAGTTGGCAACAAGTTACCACTTTAAATTACACATTTGCTACACTGCTTTTCCACCACAACAGTGTGAAGCCTTCGCGATGTAAACATTCCTTATTAACCACCCTTCTTGTTATTCGCACACTTGACTGCGTTCATACTCTCCCGGATTTTTATGTTTGGGCTAACAACATTCGCCTACTGGTTTTCCCAGATGAACAACACAGAACTAGTTCATTAGAGTTCAGATAAAGTAAAAAAAATTAGAAAATATAACGACAAGATAAACTGCTGTTGGAAAATTAACGACAGCAGCGGTCGAGTAACCCACCACCCCTCATCCCTCATCTTGGAAGAAATGGCTCTCAATGCCGTCTCCATTTATTAGCCTTGTACACGTTCTTCTCTTCATTGTTAGTGACAACAACGAGCTGACTCAGAGTATCCTTGAAAGCAGCGTTGCTCTAACACATTTGTCCCATTAGAAAAAGTTAAGGTAGACACTTCAATAGGTATTCTTCTAACATGACCTAAAAATCAGCAGCATCAAAGAAAAAGAAAATTTAGTAGCGATCGACCCTAAACGGCTATTCCGACAAAAGCAAATCGAGCGTGCGATCGACCTCTCTATGATTTTTCTTTGTTATCTCATCTGCTAATGAAACTGTCGAAGCTGGCACCCGAACTCGATAATTTTTCATTTTATTTCGGAAAAAAACGAGATTATATAGAAAAATGCTCGTGAATTTATTCCAACGTGGGTGTCGATCTCGGGGTACTCGTTAGAATGTCTCCCTGGAAGCAGAGAATTTCTCACTCTGCAGAGCCTAGGACAAACTTCTGCGGTTTATTAAGGTCTGTTCATAGTCTGTATCTTCACCGTATCGAACAGCGGGAATTGGAGAGGAATCGATTGATTGAGTCATCAAATGAACTCGATCAATGCGTATCTAACATTTGCCAGCGCATTTGGACGATTTCCAAATCACGACTTTGCGACTCCTCAAATCGATACGGATCGAGTGTTTGCCAATGAACTTTGTGATATATGGACATGGGAGTTACGAGTATGTAGCCTTACGATATGACGGCCACTTTAGGTTAGCACTTTTGGCAGAAAAGCCAGAGCTTAGCTATTTCAAGTACCGAAATTTAGCAAAACAAAAAGAGAGTAAGAAAGTTGATCAAGCTGAGCTGACTCAGAGACAGGACAGACGATAGTGAAAAGGAAAGTGAAGAAAGAAGAGGTACAACAGAACAGTGAAGGTGAATAGGAGCGGAGATCGATCATCGCCGTGAACGGAAAACCATGAAATGGCCGAAATCACTATGAGAATGGAAATGATATCGATCGACGTGGAGCGACACGTCAGAGAATGACTTGGAAGCGTCGACGTTCTGCACGATTCGACGGGCTTCAGATGCAGTCGTCGTCGCTGTCGTTATCGGAAGGCCTCATAACTTACTTCATCGTGGTCAACCCTGTGGGTGGACAAGCAGACCTCACCTTGCACGTCACCCAGGCAAAATGCCAAGTGGCGTTTGCAGTACGTAACGCCCACTAATGCAGACTTTCGCTACAAAGCCGTGCCCCTTTGTTGGGAAATGCGGTGGTTTCATGGCCTTTCTTCGTTTTATTGGTCTGAAAATGGAGTTCTTTCTATGAAAACCTACCTTTATATTCACTAAAATATGTACATTACTTAGTAATACTCCGTAGAGCGCCTGAATATTAGTTTGTTTCTTCCTGAAGTTTTTTAGCACAAAATGACCACAGGCTCGGTCAAATAAACTGTTGGGGATCGACACCAGTCGCCAGCTTTCCATGTAGGTTTAATCTTTGCCAAAAAAGTCCCATGATACTATATTTTCGAGTGGAGGATCTTGTCGCTTACTGCTTTTAAAGTAAAACCTAAACTACAGTTTACGTATCTCTTCTCATACTCTTTCTATGATAACTGGATTTTTTGTAGTTGTCCAGTTGGGAACGTGGCTTGATCCCGCCGACCTATGGGCCAATCCTACTTGAAAGACTTTTTGATTCTTTGCATTGATTGAGGTTACAACAGAGAATGCCTCTCAATAAAGCGTTTAGTCTCCGATTTTTTTGCACTCCTTCCTATTCTCCTTCAGGAAGGCGATTTTCCGCACTGGTCCCTTAACAGATAATGCGGTGAAACCAATCACTCCCAGGCTGTGCTCATGGCCTGATCCTTTGAAATCTTTTGTGGTGGAAGTGTAGCTGGGAAGGGGGGGGGGGGGGGGGGGGGGG